CATGTATTGTGATGCAAGGAGGCCAGCATCTATTTTAACAGATCATGTGATGTAAGAGGAGGGAAGACTCATCCTGAATACAACCACATAAACACATATGTTTACTGTGCCATCACCCCCAAATCAAGATTCCCCTAAGAGAGGGTGTCCCAGATAACACAAAAAGATCCTTTCACTCGTGTCCTAGTTCTGCAATACAGACCCACTTGGAACAGCATAAATACATTCTGAACCACAATACATGCAAAAGCATCCAGCCTTTAAACAACACCTGGAAGTCTGCTCTCCCCTCAGCTGGTCCGTCCACTACACATTTTGGAAAGTTGCTTCTCTCTTCTCTATGCATTTGGAAACTTTGTAAGATATTATAACCAAATGTTGCACGATGGTTCCTCAGATCAAGGAGTGCAGGTTTTTTTTCCTGTGTTTGGATACAATTGTACATCATTTTGAATCAGGAAGGTTCACTAAACCTTTCAAAGCTGCAGTGATTTCTTTTCCCTCTTAGAATTCCCAAGCAACAATTGTCACTTACTGCTAGGCCATTATAAACCGAGGTGATCTAACATACTGTCACTATAACCCAAAGTGAGTAGCACCCCTAGTACTCTAATATACTGCCTTGCTTCATTTCACCCACCTATGGAAAGGTTCAGTCACACAAGCCCCTTTCTCCAGGGACTACCAGTAAATGGACCTCACCTTAGCATCATACAGAGACATATTGAATTAAGATTTCATGCTGAACTCTTCTCTTTCTCTTAGACTGGTAAACCACAGACATACCTTGTTTTTTAAAAAGGCAACCCTATTAATCATTGGGTTTGTCTGACAAAGTAAGTAATTCCTTTCAAATGCTTTAGGAAACATAATCTTCACTATCAGCAGAGCCCAGGCATGTAAATTCACATCCTGGCAACACAGTCATTGGGCTGCAGCCACAGCTTCACATGCCTAGTTCCAATGGTGCATCTTGACTTTCATTTCCTCTCCTCTCTCTCTTCTGCACATACCCACCAAATCTGCTCTGGAGGGTCCCTCAACCCTCCAGAGATGATTTTGAGGGTGCAAGGAGGGCTGAAGGCAACAGAAGAGGAGGGGGGACGTTCCACTGTATGCACAGAAGTCTGCTTTGCAAGTTCCCATTGAGTTCTAATTCTTTACTTTGTCCTATTTGTACCAGATAATTTTTTTTAATGCCTGGCTATATCCTCAGAGCTGGGACGTGGGTGGTGCTGTGGTCTAAAATCACAGAGCCTAGGTCTTGCCAATCAGAAGGTCGGCGGTTCAAATCCCCGCAACAGGGTGAGCTCCCGTTGCTCAGTCCCTGCTCCTGCCAACCTAACAGTTCAAAAGCACGTCAAGTGCAAGTAGATAAATAGGTACCGCTCCAGCAGGAAGGTAAACAGCGTTTCCGTGCACTGCTCTGGTTCACCAGAAGCACCTTAGTCATTCTGGCCACATGACCCGGGAAAAGTGTATGCGGACAAATGCCAACTCCCTCAGCTAGTAAAGCAATATGAGCACCGCAACCCCAGAATCATCTGGGACCTAACGGTCAGGAGTCCCTTTACCTATATCCCCAGATGAACCATACCAACATGTTTTTCATGTGTGCTAAAACTCAGTCTATTTTTTTAAAAAAAGAATTGTTTAACCACATCAGTTAAGAAATGTGGATATATATTCTCAGTGCTTTTTCCTGGGGCGGACGCAGGGGTACACATACCCCTAAACATTTTCTGAATCTTTGTACTTTTGTCCATTTACTGTATTTTTCCCGATTTGAACTATAAAATGGTAATTTTCTTGAGTCAAAATGAGAGTACTCCTAAAACTTTTTTTTAGAATAAAACCACTGTATATACTATAACGTTATTGTTTTAGTTAAATAAATTGTTTAAATTGTTATTAAGGAAATGATTATTTTTCTCCTTCCAAAAAAGTACAGCAGAAAAGTTGTCCAAATATAAACAGTTAACTTATTAAACCTCACAGTAATTCCATAATTATCTGTCTATGCATATCTAATAGTATAACCAAATCAGTAATTTTTGATATAACTGTAAAAACTACTCTGAAACTTTATTATTCCAAAAATGAAACCTTCGTCTGGCTGTAAATATTACGATTATACCAGCAAGAATGATTCTTTCTGTAAAAAATGATTTAAATCAAGTCTTACTGACTAGTGATTTAAATCGTGATTTAAATTGTGATTTAAATAGATTTGATTTAAATCAAATCCATTCTGCAGTCCCAACTATGCATCTGAATGTGCATGCACACAAATGCACATACTTCTATAAGCAAGAAACAAGAGCAAAGCTATGCAGCAACGCTAACAAAATTATTGTGGCACAGCTTCTGTAGTCTATGAAAGCTTATGTGCCATAATAAATATGTCCATCTTTAAGATGGCACATTACTCTTAGTCTGCAGCAGCACACACAGTTAATTCTGTGGAACTTGTCTTTGCAAAATTGTTACCTTCTGCCCTCACCAGCAAGACCAAATGCCATGGTTTCACACAGCGACAACACAAATACACAGAGACCAACCACTGCTTGCCTCTTTTCCACACTTCCCTTTTAAAAATGTGTAGGAACTGGCAGACCTTTCAGTGGCAATGCTGCACCCTCAGAAAGACTTCCCCCAGCTTAGTAACTCAGGCCCACCGATCTGGCTTCCATCCTTGTCTTCTTTGTACACTCCTCCACATGATCTTACAAAGCCAACTGGGAGAGGAGAGCTCCTGCGAGACCACACATCCCTGCCTCTGTTCATCAAGCTGCTCAGGGAACCCAGGCAGGATTTCCTTTGTGACAGTGTAATCCTATGCACATTCAGTGGGACTTGGTGCCCAGTAAGTGGGTACAGGACTGCAATCTTAGTGTTACAGCAAAGCTTCACATTCAAATATTTGTTGTTGCTATTATCACAATCCTCACTGGTCTATGTGGAGAGAGCTCAGCCCGAGTTTTCTCCTGATATCTCCCCTGTGACATCGCTTCCCACACCACCATGAAAATCACCAAGCCATAACTGTCACCAACTTAAGGACTAGAGCAGTATGTTGGCTAAACATCTCAGCCACTGGAAAGTCCACAAACCAAGTCTCACCACAGCAAAGGAATGCCTGCATGCATGAAAGCACCTTTTTTCTCTCTGCCACTAACTCTCGTCTGTAATGTGACAGTAATAATACTGGCCTACTCAGGGTTATTATAAGAATTACTGAGATAACATACATGAGGCAGTTTGAGCAGTCCAGATGGGTTATGTTATTAAAGCAATTCCTTAATACAGTATATACAGTACTTTAAATCATCTCTCTTCTCACAGTTTCCACACCTTTTAACCATTACTCTGGAATGCTTTCTATAAATGCTTAGTGTCACCTACGAGCAGAAAAACTCTGGTTCAGTTTTCCTGGTCATAGATGACACTAAGCATTTATAGAAAGCATTCAAAGCACCTCCTTGACGTTGCCTTGCAATCTTTGTAATTACCCTGCAAGATGAGGTGAGTATTAGCCCCATGTTATTTAAGAGAGGGAGGATGAGAGCTAAGGTCACTAGACAAGTTCATAGGAGGGGCGAGATCTGAACCAGAACATTTCCTGGTCTTCTGCACAAACAGCCAAGGCATCAGCACTTACTTTCATCATGTATTTTGAATGCAATTTTCACATGTGCTCATTCCCAAGTCATTTTAAAATCATACTAAAAACCCCAAAGATCCATTCTCCTACTTTTTCTTTTCTTTTTTATCTCTAGCAACCTACAGCAGGGGTGGCTTTTCTGGGCCTGAGGGCCACATTCACCCTTGGCCAACCTTCCGGGGGCCGAATGCCAATGTTGGGTGTAACCACCCACTCTCCTGCAGGTATACCTGCAAAACATACACACCTACAAGCACAAAGCAGCACCACACCCCTCCCTCAACTGTTCTGAAGGAAGGGGGTTTTCAGACTTATTCCTCATTCATAAAATGATTGGTCCGATGACTAAGGGGGAGGACATCTGTGTCCCTATCAGGGCACAGGGCTGAGCACAGAGAGTTCAAACCACCCAGTGCCATCATTATTTCTTAAATTTATTTTTGTACCCACTGCTGAAATCAGTGGTGTCTAGGGGGAAGTCAAGAGAATAAAATGTGGTTAGGGGGCCACATCAGCCCCTGCCCAGGACAGGGGTTAGTCAATCCTGGCCTAAATTCCTCACATTTAGACATCAGAGAGCAGAACTTAATGGGGAGTAAGGGGAGAGTGTCCTATCTATATATTGCACAGGCCTTTGCTCCCTAGCAATTTGTAACATGCGGGGAACCCTCACACCCACCCTGGTCTCTGTCACCCACAAAAACTGTTCTTCTCTGTTTTTAGCAGTTCTTACTTTATATATAAGCTGCCTCAAGTCCCTGTCAGGGGTAAAGTCAGGATATAAATAATTATACAACAACAACAACCCCCAACACATGCCTAACGCTTTTTTTCGTCATTATGTATTTCCCCAGATATGAGCTCACTAGCACTTACAAAAGATTTCGCTGTTTAGCCAACAACAAATGTGCATATTTGGAGGAGGGGGGAAACCACAGTAGTACCTATATGCCCGAGGCTTATTATTTCAGCCAGTCGAATAAAAGTATTATTTGCTTCTATGCTAGACCGAGTCACTGGGTGACTTGACCCAGGACGTAGATAAGAGGCACGTTCACCCAGAAACAACTCCAACCTGCGTCCAACCCGAAGGTGTGTGTAGGACTGCGGGTGAAATCTTATGCAGAATTGAACAGGATTTGGGGAAGGTAATGTCAAGGCGGGTTGGCGCCAGCAGGCCATGAGAGGCGCAGCATTTGCACACACCTCCCCGCCCCTCACACCAACCCTGCGAGGCAGGTCAGGCCGAGGCTGCCCCAGGGGTCGTGCTCAGCGCCCCGGCCGAAGAGACCCCGACCCCCCCGACCCGCGGCTCCCCCGGCGCCCCCTCACCCACCGGAAGCGGCCCCCGCAGTGCTGGCACTGGTCGCCGACCCATCCCGGCGGGCACTCGCACTGGCCGGTGCTGGGCTGGCAGCGCCCTCCGTTGGCGCACGGCTTGTCGCACTCCTTCGCCTCGGCGGCCGCTCCGGCTCCGGCTCCCACCCCGGCTCCCGCCGCCGGACCCAGCAGGAGGAGCAGGACGGGCGGCCAGCCAGGCTGGGGCGAGGGCGAGGAGGCCGCCGCGCCGCCTGCGGCCCCGCCGCTCCATCGCCTGAGGGGGAAAGGGACGGCAGTGAGGAGAACGGAGCCCGGGGAGGGGGCGGGCGGCGGCGGCGGCGGCGGAGAGAGGCTCCGCCGAGAAGCTTCGCGCGGGCGGACGGTGGCCGGCGAGGGCTGCGGCGGCTGCTGCTGCTGCGGAGCGGCCTCCTCCTCCTCCTCCCAGGAGCGACGGAAGCCCGCGAGGCTCAACCTTAGCGCGGCGGCGGCCGGCCTGGCGCTCGCTCTCCTCCTCACACAACCGTTCTGAGGGGGAGGGGGAGGAGGAAGCGACGGAGCGTCGCCCCCTCCCGCCGGTGTCCGCTCCCGATGACGTCGGCGCCGAGCCCCTGACGAGGGGGGGAGAGCGAGGATAAAGAGAGACCATAGAGTTCTTCTCTGTCGTAGAGAGGCGGGCGGATGGTATCCAGGCAACCGCCTAAGCGGGGAGAGGGGGTGGGGCTTCGAGCTGGACGCAGGTGGGCGGTGCCGAATTTGATAGAGAGCAGGCTCGCCCAATCAGGTCGCCGGCAGGTACTTTTCGGACTACATCTCCCATCAGCCCCTTCAAAACGGGGAGGAGGCTGCTCTCCGTCAGGTTTGGCACCGCCCACCTGTCAAGTCCGAGGCCCCGCCCTCTTGCCCTCTCTCGGCTGTCGTTCAAGTGGCCGTCGCGGGAGGCAGAAGTTCAACAGGTGAAGCCACCCTTCCTCGCCCACGCCTGCTTCTTGGGAGAAGGGCAATGACAGGCCTAGACAGCATCTTGAGAAGTAGAGACGTCACCTTGCCAACAAAGGTCCGTATAGTTAAAGCCATGGTTTCCCAGTAGTGATGTATGGAAGTGAGGAGCTGGACCATCAAGAAGGCTGATTCGCCGAAGAATGGATGCTTTTGATTATGGTGCTGGGAGAAGACTCTTGAGAGTCCCATGGACTGCCAAGAAGATCAAACACATCCATTCTCAAGGAAATCAGCCCTGAGTGCCTCACTGGAAGGACAGATCCTGAAGCTGAGGCTCCAGTACTTTGGCCATCTCATGAGAAGAGAAGAACTCCCTGGAGAAGACACTGATGCTGGGAAAGATGGAGGGCACAAGGAGAAGGGGACGACAGAGGACAAGATGGTTGGATAGTGTTTTTCGAGGTTACCCAGCATGAGTTTTGACCAAAACTGCAGGAGGTAGTGGGAGGACAGAGGTGCCTGGCGTGCTCTGGTCCAGGGGGTCACGAAGAGTCGGACACGACTAAACAACAAAGAACGAGTAAATACATAGCAGGGAAAGTTATCTGCTCAATAAAGTAAGTTCAATGTGACTGCATTGCACCATTATATTTCCCTCACTTAGCAAACAAGTGGGGGGGGGGGCTAAATTTAAACTCCAACAACACCAACAAGTGCTTTGGCCTGGCTGGAATATGTCCTTGAACTCTGATAATGCCTCTTGGAGAGGGGTGTGCGAGGGGGTGTTGGTGAACAAAGGTAATATTTACATTTGTCGCTCCATCCATTTTGCCTCTGGTACCACTCACCTCTGGCCTGTGCCCGCTCCAAGGTTGCCCTGAAGCGAAGGCAGACTGAAAAAAGTTTCCCACGCAGGTTCTGTGGCAAACAAGCATCGATGATACTAATACCCACATCTGGGGTGCGTGGTTGGCATGTTCATCATGCAGGATTTTAATCTTCCTGTGTGCGGTGTGGTTTTGGTCCACGTTGGCCAACACTGCTCTTTTATTTTTCCTTTTTTTTAAGTCACTTCGCCTACCTGCCGCCTCCCATTCTGGAAGCACTGTCATGATCTGGCCAACTCCATCTATGTGCTGGCATCTTCCTTCTTGGCCTGTGTGCTATTTCAGCTCCCTGGGCCTGGATTTGCCAGCAATTCTTCGCAGATAATTGTTTTCTCTCAACACCACCTGCTCCCTTCCTATCCCCGGCGTAGGTGATGGCTGAGCGAAAGGATCAAGTAAAACCTGACACACTGTCGGGATAATTCCAACCAAACCATTTCACCTATAGGGGGTGCTTTCGGAATTATTCGCAGTATAAAAAGGACAAGATTCAACCAAGGCCAACTTTTGCTTGCTTAGCCCGTTGCCAAGGCACCTGTTCAAATTCCCAGCAGCCCGGATTAAGCCGAAATAAAACCTGGCATGCTGGACGGAATTCTGTTTCAGATTGCATATGCGATGGATATACCTGTGTCTGTCCTAGAACTGTTCTTACAGAACCCAAATAAATCACAGCTATACATAACGGAGGAGGAGGCAGATTAAAGTTTGATGAGGCCTTGATATTGCAAAGAATTAGGCTGCGATCAGATGAGGCAGTGGGGTGTTCTTTCCAGATTTCGGATGCATTCAATCGGTGTATCCCACCCCCAGCAAAGGACAGTTCTGATGTAAACTTTTTGTGTTAATCAATTGGGGGAGGGCTGCCTTTTAAATACGAGAGCACAGTAGCTGCATTCTGATATTAAACTGGGAGGTAGCAGTCCCTATTTTCCAGGGACAGTCCCAGGTTTACAGAAGCCTTCCCAGTTTCTGGTTTCATCCTAGAATGTCCTACTTTTCCTTAGGTAAAGGTAAAGGGACCCCTGACCATTAGGTTCAGTCGCGAACGACTCTGGGGTTGCAGCGCTCATCTCGCTTTATTGGCCGAGGGACCCAGAAGTACAGCTTCTGGGTCATGTGGCCAGCATGACTAAGCCACTTCTGGTGAACCAGAGCAGCGCACGGAAACACCGTTTACCTTCCCGCCGGAGCGGTACCTATTTATCTACTTGCACTTTGATGTGCTTTCGAGCTGCTAGGTTGGCAGGAGCAGGGAACCAAACAACGGGAGCTCACCCCGTCACGGGGATTCGAACCACCAACCTTCTGATTGGCAAGTCCTATGCTCTGTGGTTTAACCCACAGCGCCACCCGTGTCCCATTACTTTTCCTTAGGATGTCCCTATTTTCATTGGAGAAATGTTGGAGGGTTATGCAACCCCAAACCAAGGAGATAACTATCCAACCTTTAGAAGACATCTGAAAGCAGACCTGTATTGATGAGTTTCTTAATCTTTAGTGTTTCACTATGTTTTTATATGTTGGAAGCTGCCCAAAGTGGCTGGGGTGACTCAGTCAGATGGGTGGAGAGGAGAAGAAGGAGAAGAAGGAGAAGAAGAAGGAGAAGAAGAAGAAGAAGAAGAAGAAGAAGAAGAAGAAGAAGAAATTGAATAAAATGTCCCTGTTTTCATCAGATAAATGTTGGAGGGCATGAGGTAGTTACCTCAATTCTTGATGCTGAAGGTGGCCTTCCAATTCTCTCTATCTGGAATCATTTACAGATTAAGGTTTAGCTAGCAGACCAATGAAGCAAACCTTTACAGATTAAAATTGGCCCAATTAATCCACCCAAAGAGAAGCAGCTCTTTTTCTCCAAGGAAATCTGGAAGGAGTCACTCTGCTTTTCCCCCTCTTAACTGCGCAACACTTTTTAAAACAGCTCCATCGTCGTTCTTGTGCTGCAACCAAGACTTGGAGAGAACAAAGGCAACTGGAGTGGGGGGGGGGAGAAACTCTTCACTGAATTTTGAATTAAACCCAAGAGAATTATTATACAAAAGGGGGGGAAAACGTGACTGTCCCCTGGCCCCTTTTACATTATAATGAGGCAGCATCTCTGCACAACAGAGACCCAAGGGCTTCGTTTGTATAGAAATAACCTGCTCTCCAGGGAAGCCAATTCTGTAGTATTGCCAAACAGCTGCAAGGAGCCTTGCATGGAAGAAGAGGAAGAAAAAGGCAGATGCTTTAAGAATCTGCACACAGGTCTTTTGGAGGAGAGTGTATGGCACGTTGAAGCTGCTTTACTACTCTTCTGAAGTTTCACATGCCACACATTTCAGAGGGATCCTGCAGGGTGGATGAAGGCCCCTGGCACTCAAGTAAATCAAGAGAAACAGAAGTTCCTGGGCGGCTCGTTCCAGCTGGAGGAACCAACAAAAATAGTCCAACTGAGGAAGCAAAACAGGAAACCACCTTGAGATGGGTTCCAAGAAAGCACGAGCTTGGTGTCATGGACTGTTTGGATGCAGATAAATGGGGGGGGGGAACCAGCTGGGGAACCCCCAAGGGGAAGAAGGCTCAGAGCCCGGGGAGTGCTGGTTGCATGACGAAGAGTGGTCACAGGAAGAAGAAGAAGAGTTTGGATTTGATATCCCGCCTTTCACTCTTTTAAGGAGTCTCAAAGCTGCTAACATTCTCCTTTCCCTTCCTCCCCCACCACAAACACTCTGTGAGGTGAGTGGGGCTGAGAGACTGCTGAGAAGTGTGACTGGCCCAAGGTCACCCAGCAGCTGCATGTGGAGGAAGCGGGGAAGCAAACCTGGTTCACCAGATTACGAGTTCACTGCTCTTAACCACTACACCACACAGAAGACTGGGAAGAGGGGGTATCGGAAGCTGACGAGGTAACAGGGCTTAGTGAGCGGGGAGAGTCTGTGGCAGAGAGCAGTCCAGAATCAGAGGCAGAAGCTGAAGCAGGAGAAGAAGGAAGCCAAGGCTGGTAAGGCTGGTGAAGAGGAACAGGTGTCTCCCCCTCCTGTTGCGACAGGCTCCTTTTCCCTCTTGTCTCCCAGAACCAGAAGAGGTGGAGGAGAAGTTGGCTTCACACTTTTTTCTCCAAGGTGTCCCCCAAGGATGTTCGGCAAAATATCAAGTGAATAATTGAAACCCCCAGAGCCAAGAGTTTCTCCACATGGGGGGGGGGCAAATTAATTTATTTTGCAGGCTTCAAGGGAAGAAAGAACAGGAAATGGCCGTATGTAAACCAGCCTGTGGCAAGGTGCTCTTTGCCTCCACAAAAACATTGTTGTGCAGAAGGGACTTTGACTTGGCTCTGGGGAAAATCCAAACCACACCCTCTCCAAGAGTTTACACATGTTTTCCACACAGAGGAGAATGGATGACTCTGCTCCCCTCCTGGCGTTTGCTGAAAACTCCTCTGTCCGGTGCGTTGCTGTGTAACGGCACGGATCTGAAAGTAAAGAGGCTGTTTGTTCGGTTAAAGATATACCAGAAGAAGAAGAAACATAATTATCCCATTGTATGCTGTTGAAAGTTCAAAGTTAAACTTACCCAGCTGCAGTGTGTGAAACACAAAATGCACACAACACAGCACATTAGCATACATGAGTTCTCATTTATATGTATATATATATTGGTTCCGTTTCTATCCTGCCTTTCTTCCAAAGAACTCCAGGGCATGTACCTACGGGACCGCCTCTCCTGGTATGTCCCACGGAGGACCTTACTGTCTTCAAAATAAAACATCTTGGAGATCCCGGGCCACAAGGAGGTTAGGCTGGCCTCAACCAGAGCCAGGGCTTTTTCGGCCATGGCCCCGATCTGGTGGAACGCTCTGTCACAAGAGACTAGGGCCCTGCGGGACTTGACATCTTTCCGCAGGGCCTGCAAGACAGAGCCGTTCCACCAGGCCTTTGGCCAAGGCACAGTCTGACCCCCTCCTTTGGTAATCCTCACAGAACTCTGGCCCAATGGTTGCCATTAATTTGATTTTGAATTGATTTTAGAATGCATTTCAATTAATTGATTGTGATTTTATGTAAACTTACTTTTTGTTATGTTCTCACCCTGGGTCAGCAGGGGAATACTGTAGATAGTTTTCACTCAGGTCCACATATGCAAATGAGGAATTGAAAGTGACGTTCAGTGATTGGATAGTTACAGAAAGTTGTCACTGTTGCCTTGTAGTTGAGCTCTATATAAGCAGGCTGACTGAGCCCTTCAGTTCTGTTCTGTTCTGTTCTGGGTCTGTCAATAAACAAGAGCTGTTTGAAGAATCGCTGTGTCGTCTGATATGTTCACCCACAACTTAACACTTCTATTGTTGTTAGCCGCTCTGAGCCTGGCTTTGGCTGGGGAGGGCAGGATATAAATAAAAAATTATTAGTATTAGTATTATTATTATTATTATTATTATTAAGAATATAAGAAGAGTCCAGCATCCTGTTCTCTCAGCGGCCAACCAGATGCCTGTAAGAAGCCTGAAAGCAGAGCCTGAATAAAAGAGCCCTCTTCGCTCCTGCGGTTTCCAGAAACCTGTATTCAGATGCATTGTGCACAACATAGCCATGGATAGCCCTCTCCTCCATGAATTTTTTATTGCCTTCAAATGTAATTTGCAAGGAAGACAATCTAAGACTCACAGAATTATGGGGTTGGGAGGAACCCAAGGGTCATCTAGTCCAAACCCCTTCAATGCAGGGTCTCGAACCCACAACCCTGAAATTAAGAGTCTCGTACCCTACTGCTATGAGAGTAATCAAGTAGATCCCTAGGAAGACAGTGCTTTAGCAAGGACAGTATTTGTGGTTAATCTTTCCTCTTTTTTCCTGTTTTTGTTTTATAGCTATCTGTGCTTTTCTCTCAAGAGCCCCACTTTTCCCTAGTAATTTCATTCTAATTTTACACTCCGCTTAATCAGGGTCCTTCTCATTTATTTGGCCACCTCGTATTTTAAGGCAAGGCAACAACCTCCCAAAGTTCTGAAAAACTGCCGCCTGAGAAACAGTTTCTATTCAAATGCAATTTTGGTTTTAAACACAGTGTAAGGTAGTCTCTGAAGGGACACGGGTGGCACTGTGGGTTTTAACCACAGAGCCTAGGATTTGCCGATCAGAAGGTTGGCAGTTCAATTCCCCATGACGGGGTGAGCTCCCTTTGCTCGGTCCCTGCTCCTGCCAACCTAGCAGTTCGAAAGCACGTCAA